GGAAAGGTCATTGGAAACCAAGAAGGGGGAGGCGGAGAGGAGTGGGGGGTGTAACAACTTAGCAGGTGCAATGAACACTATTCAGGTGACGGGCACACTAAAGCTCCAACTTCAGTATTATAAAAGGTATCCATGTAAAAAAACATTTTGACTCCCTTGATATATTAAAATAACAATTGTTTCAAAAGAACAAGGGCTCTAGAATAAGGCAACCTGAGTTCAGAGCTCATAACTGCCATCCCCTGGCTGTATCACCTTACACAAGTTACTAAATCACTTTGTGCCTCAGTCATCCTGTCTTATGAATGGGGATAATGAGTATCTATCTCAAAGGGCTACCTAGATCAAATGAGACAATCCACACACACACTTAGGAGGACGTGCTCCGTAATTAGTTATTAATATTATACCTTCTGCCCTCCCCGCAGCCTTTAGGCTAAGTACATAATTTATTGTTCCATGCCATTGCAGGTGCCTCGAGCAAAGGCCTTATGCAACTACAGAGGGCAGAGTCCTGGTGACCTGAGGTTTAATAAGGGAGATGTCATCGTTCTCCGGAGACAGCTTGACGAGAACTGGTACCAGGGGGAGGTCAATGGCACCAGTGGGATCTTCCCAGCCAGCTCTGTGGAAATCATCAAGCAGCTGCCCCCACCACCCCCTCTCTGCAGGGCCCTCTACAACTTTGACCTGAGAGACAAGGACAAGAATGAGAACCAAGATTGCCTGACCTTCCTCAAGGTAAGAGTCTGGGGAGCCACCGAGGTCTCCAGGGACCACCTGGGGACTGTGGCCAAACCTGGAGTCATTTGTTTAACATTTGCTTATTTTTTAATCATATACATTTTATACATAAATGTATATATGTATGTGCATGTATATGTGAGTGTGTTGCATATATATGTAATGTGTGTGCATAACTCAAACTACATGGAAATGAAATCGCTAGAGAAATCTAAGAGTTTAACAGAGTCCTTAAGCCTTTTCCATTCCAATTACAAAAATACATATTCACACATTCTTTTATTCATTCATTCTGCAGTCAGTTTTGAGCACTTATTATTTGCAGGTGCTGGGATTAGAGCATGAACAAGTTACAGTCCCTCCTGTCCTGGGAGGGGAATGGGAGGAACAGACATGTGAGCAGAAAATTAAAAACCACTTGATAACATGCTATGCGAACCGTGGCTGCTGCCTCTTTATCACGTATCTGTAGGGATATTCTTGCCGACCAAGTTATGGCCATCTAATTCTACTCAATTACAACATTCTATTTTGTTGCAAACATATCATTCAAAACACTCCAGACGGGCCAGGTGCAGTGGCTCATGCCTGTAATCCTAGCATTCTGGGAGGATAGCTTGAGCTCAGGAGTTCAAGACCAGCCTGAGCAAAAGCAAGACCCTGTCTCTACTAAAAAAAAAAAAAATTAGCCAGGTGTTGTGGCAGGTGCCTGTAGTCCCAGGTATGCAAGAAGCTGAAGGAGGAGGATTGCTTGAACTCAGGAGTTTGAAGTTGCTGTAAGACACAGCACTCTAGCCTGCGCAACAGAGTGAGACGGTCTTTAAAAAACAAACAAAACACAACAAACAAAAAACCACTCAGACATACACTGCTACGTAATCATACCTTTATACACAAATAACCCCTTACAAGATATGTTTTCCAAACACTTAATTACCCTAAGATTCTTTTGGCCTCTCTTTTTCACCGCATGGTTCTTCACCATTCACAAGTAACAACAATTCTCCTAAAATCCAGGCTCCTTTAACTCTCTCCATTCAGTATTTGTTATTCCCTAAACATTCAAATTCTCTCATAGAAATCAAAGTTGGAGTTGTTTTCATTCTTTTTCTACTTTCATCTGATAAGTAGCTCAGATATCAGATACACAAGAGGCGGCACTGTTACTATTGGTCTCTGGAAAATATTTTTATTCTATCACTACCCAAAATGAGATCTACTTCAGATTCCCTCCAACTAGGTAACCTTACGGTCAGACGGAATCTCCCAAGGTAGGTCAATCTACAGCCTGAATAGCAAAGTTTAAACTTAGACTTCCGTTCAGTTCCACATTTATTGAGTATCTATTTGTGACAGGCTTTAGACACTGAGCTCTGGGGACAAAGCTGGAGGGAGACATAAGCAAGCAGGAAGCGCCATGTGCTTCCCTGACCTTCTCTGGGAATTTACAAAGGGGACCCTTACTCTACATGGTCATTCATCCCTGTGCCTGTCCGTGTGCCAAGCTGGTTACTGGGGACAGAGTGATGAGTGATAGCCCTTACCTTCACAGAGCTGGCAGTCTGTGAAGAAACAAATTCATAAATGAGAAATTATGACCAAAGAAATCAGGAGAGAGGGTTTGACCCATTCTAGAATGCTAAGACTTGACAAGGAAATCTCATGGTTTTTCTAAACTGAGCATGCCACACAAAGCTGCCTTTTTCTATCTCAGTAAATTGTATGATTGATTCAAATGTTCATGTGCTTTATGCATGCATGCATGCATTTAAGAAATATTTACTGGATGACTACGAAGTGGGAACCACTGTGTTAGGTGCTAGCAACAACAGAGATAAACAAAAATGGACACAGGCGCTGTACAAGTGGAGGTTGTGGTCAGATAAGGTGGACAGACATGAAATTACAACCTATAAATGTGGACTTGCCACTCTGTAATAACCTATAAATGTGTTACATGCAAACCTACAAATGTGTACTGGCAAGTATGTGAGAAGCAGCTAAGAAAAGACATCAGGCAGTAATAAATTTAGATTTGGATTAATCCAGATTAATGAGGCACATAAAATAGAAAATCACAGAGATCCAAAGGTCCTTTTTGCGCATATGTGAGAGACAGGGTCTTGTTCCTTTGTCCAGGCTAGAGAGCAGTGGCATCATCATCACAGCTCACTGCAACCTCAGGCTCCTGGGCTCAAGGGATCCTCCTTCCTCAGCCTCCTGAGCAGCTGGGTCTACAGGCACCTGCCACCAAGCCCCACTAATTTTTCTATTTTTTTCTAGAAACAGGGTCTTCATGTCCCTTGCGCTGGTCTTGAACTCTTAGCCTCAAGTCCCAAAGTGCGAGGATTACAGGCATGAGCCACTGATACAGATTTAGGTTGACGAACATGTACGCACCTGGAAAAGTGTTCCTGATGTGGTATTTTAAGAAAATCATTGTGTTCTATACGACTTCATATGTGTGAAGTACAAGAATAGACCAAATGAACGCACAGAGCTAGACGTCAGAAGAGTTACCTCTTGCTAGATTGTGGGCAAGGGCACAAAGGGCAATCTGGGTGTTGGAAGTGTTCTGTATCTTGGTCTTTTGTGGATATATTCAAATACAGAACTTGCTTAAGCTTTACACCTAAGATTTATGCACATCATTGTAGGCATGTGTGTGGTTTTGGCAGTTTATAAAATCAGTGTTTATATATATAAACATATACGCATGTTTACATGTATATTATATATGTTTTATCTTGATAAAAAAGTATGTAGAGAAAATATGTTAATCTGTTAACAGTGGTTGTATCTATATTGTGGTAGAATTTTTTTTCCTTGTTTTGCTTATCTGCATTTTCAGAGATTCCTAAAAATTTACATATGACCTTCTGTAATAAGAAAAATTTGAATAACAAACTGCTTTGGGCCTGGTGCCCTAGCTTACACCTATACTTCTAGCACTCTGAGAGACTGAGGTAGGATGATAGCCTGAGCTCAGGACTTTGAGACCAGCCTGAGCAAGAGCAAGACTCCATGAAAAAAAATTAGCCATGCCTTGTGCCATGAGCCTGTAGTCCCACCTGCTCCAGGGGCTGAGGCAGGAGGATCACTTGAGCCCACAAGTTTGAAGCTGCTGTGAGCAGGGCACACAGGGCACTCTAGCCTGGGCAGCAGAGTGAGACTGTGTCAAAACATAACCAAAAAAATGTCAAAAACCAACCAAACAAACAAACAAAAAAAACTGGCCTTATGTTTGATATGTTGAAAATGAATAGATTCTAAAAAGTCTTGAAAATGAGAATAAAATTCATTCTTCTTTTTGCTAAGCTAAAGGTATCTTTCCCTATGGCTTCCATCTTGATTTCCCCCATCAGATTAATTTAAATGAAAAGCTTAGACCCTCCTGGTGATTACAAATTAGAAACATTTTCAAGTTTTCCTGCTGGATTCTCTTGATCCTCCAAATTATTTCTACTCCACTTATGGCCTCGGTGACCCAAATACCACCCTTTAGAGAGAAAGTTCATTTTAGCAGGAAGATTTCCTAAATAAATCATGCACGAGCCACATTCCTTGCACCTTATGCCATCTGGGACTCCAAACCGATCTCCCCTGAAAGCTTTTACCACCTAGAAACTGAGAGGAAATGCTGACCGTGAGCCTTTCTCTTTCAGGATGATATCATCACTGTGATCAGCCGAGTGGACGAGAACTGGGCAGAAGGCAAGCTGGGAGATAAAGTCGGCATCTTCCCTATCTTGTTTGTAGAGGTACGTGAGTATCAAGTTTGCATCGCATTCGAGCTGGCTCAGAAACACACACACACCACAGTGCTGCCTGACAGCAGCTCCTATGTGATAGGAGGCTTATTTCAGAACTGACTAAAACCTGTAAGGAAAAGATGTCAGATGAAAATACCCAAATCTGGCAAGAGTGTGAGAAGTGGGCCTGTTCCATTCTGCTGGGGGAAGTGCAAATATCCAAACTAACACTCAGATCAAAAACCTTAAAAATGTGTGTCTCCATGTCTGAGAGTTTATTGTAAAGAAATATTTAAGTAAGCATACAAAGACAGGTGCATGAAATGTGCGAAAATGTTCACTATATCATCAGGGTGGTTGTGTGTTAGGACGAAAAACCAGAAATAATCTAAATATCCAATACTAAGGATTGAGTTTTTAAAAACGAAAGTGATGGAAAAATATATACCTATTACAACTAATGTTGGAGAATAATATCATGAAGTATTTGATATTGTGGAAAAATGTATGATTTATTGTTAAGTACTTTTTAGAATATTACAAGGGTACATACATTTTGGTCACATAGTTTGCTTTGTACGTTTCAGGTCACAGTTATAAGTGCGCCCTTCACCCAGAATGTGTGCCCGGTTACCTGTTAGGTGTGAATTAACCCAATTCCCTCCCCACTTCCCTGATTCCCTTTGAGGGTTACTTCCATATGTGCACCTAAGTGTTGATAAACGAGTTCCAATTTAGTATTGAATATATGTGTTGTTTGTTTTCCATTCTTGCAATACTTCACTTAGAAGAATTGTCTTCAGGTCCATCCGGGTTGTACAAAAGATACTGGCTCACCATTTTTTATGGCTGAATAGTACTCTCTGGTATACAAATACCACATTTTATCAATCCACTGATGTATTTATTGATGGGCATTTGGGTTGTTCCCACATGCTTGCAATTGTGAATTGTGCTGCTGTAAACATTCAAGTGCAAGTGTCTTTAGGATAAAATGTCCCTTTTTCTTTCGGGTAAATACCTAGTAGTGACACTGCTGGATTGATGGTAGGTCTACGTTTAATTCTTTGGGGTATCTTCATACTTCCTCTTATAGAGGTTGGACTACTTTGCAGTCTCACCAACAGTGTATCAGAGTCTCTCCACGTCCACAGCAGCACTTGCTATTTTGGGACGTCCTAGTTCACAGCAACCTCAAACTCTTGGGTTCAAATGATCCTCCCAGGCTCAGCGCCTGTGGCTCAAGCAGCTAAGGCACCAGCCACATACACCTGAGCTGATGGGTTCGAATCCAGCTTGGGCCCACCAAACAGCAATGACAGCTGCAACCAAAAAATAGTCGGGCGTTGTGGCGGACACCTATAGTCCCAGCTACTTGAGAGGCAGAAGCAAGAGAATCACTTGAGCCCAGGAATTGGAGGTTGCTGTGAGCTATGATGGCACAGCACTCTACCCAGGGTGACAGCTTGAGGCTCTGTCTCAAAAAAAAAAAAAAAAGATCCTCCTACCTAAGCCTCCTGAGTAGCTGGGACTGTAAGCACCAGCCACCTCATCCAACTAACTCTTCTATTTTGAGTAGAGGTGGGATCTCACTCTTGCTCAGGCTGGTCTTGAACTCCTGAGCGTAAGCAATCCTCCTGCCTCAGCTTCCCAGAGTGCTGGGATTACAGGCGTCAGACACCACAGCCCGCCTGTTTGGGGGTTTTCACTGGGGTTATGAGATATCTCACTGTGGTTTTGATGTGCATTTCCCTAATGACTAGAGATGTTGAGCACTTTTTCATGTGTTTTTGGCTGTTAGACTATCTTCCTTTGAAAAGTTTCTGTTCATTTCTTTTACCCACTTGTTAATGGGGTTGTTTAGGTTTTTTCCATGTTGATTTGCTTGAGTTCTTTGTAGAGTCTGACTCTCAGGGCTTTATCAAATTTATAGCATGCAAATATTTTCTCTCCTCACATGGGTTGTCTATCAACTCTATCAATTATGCTCTTGGCTGTGCAGAAGAAACTTTTTTGATCAGGTTCCACTTGTTTATTTTTGTTGTTGCTGTGATTGCTTTTAAAGTCTTCTTCATAAATTCTTTCTATTGCTAAGTATGATTTTAAAAAGTATACAGTTCCAGGTTTGCAAGATAAAGAAGTTCTGGAAATGTGTTTGAATGCATATGAATACACTTAACACTACTGAACTGTATACTTAAAACTGGTTAAGATGAGTTTGGGAAAAAGTACATAGCACAGAAAAATGGCCAAGATGGCAGCCTTTTCTAATGTTTCAGTTTTATTGATATATAATATTTTACATAATTATGGGGTACATACATATTGTGTTACATGCACAGAATGTTAGTAATCAAGTCATGGTATTCCCATCACCTTGAGTGTCTATCATTTCCATGTGTTGGAAACATTTCAAATCTCTCTTTTGGCCAATTTGAAATAGACAGTACATTGTTGTTAACCATAGTCACTCTGCTATCATATGGTAACTTTTATGCTATATTTATTTCACAATAAAAAATAAGTTGAACCATATGAAGCAAGCTTCATTTATATGAGTGTATATTAATGGATATAGGACTAGAAGGACGTGTACCAAAATATTAACAGTAGTGATTGCTAGATGGTGAGATTCTAGATTATTTTAATTTTATTCTGCCAATTTGTATTTTCTGAGTCTTCTGAAATGAGCATACATTCATCACTTCTTTAAAAAAAAAAAAAAAGCTACTCTAAAGAAAGAAAGAAAACGTGCTAGGCTATCTATTTCTTCAGTGTGATAATGTAACTTGTAGTCTCTAACCTTGCCAGCTATGAGCCTCACCCTAGCTTGAAGCAAGTCATTAAAAATTTAAAGGAGAGGTTTCCTGTTTAACTGCATTTTATTGGGTGTACACATAAAACATCCCCAATAAAAACTGGTAGTGGAGAGCTAAGAAAGAAGTAAATAGCATACTCTCTCCCCTCTATGAAGGTGGGGTGAAAGCAGAACAGAAGCATAATTAAGGAAGTATTTGATATTATGGAAAAGGACCCCTTCTTCCTGTTATAAGAGCTAAGGCAGGCTCTGAAATGAATGGTGTACTCAGAGAGTTGTACAGCTTTCAAGGTTCCCTGGCTTCATATAGTTCAACTTATTTTTTTTTTAATTGTGGTAAAAAAAAAAAAAAACACATAACATAAAGTTTACCATATGATAGCAGAATAGGGTGATTAGAGCTAGCAAGTTTCTCTGTATGCCCCCTATCAATCAGTACTGAAGGAAAGAGCAGTTGAAGAAGGGCATGAAGGGCCCGGAGAGGTTGGTCCTGTCCTGTCTCTGCTACATGATATTCTCTTTCCTGATGCTTTTTCTCTTGCTGGGGCTCCTTCCAGGTGTATGCATCCAATGCTCTTCACCGGTCAGGTTTCACTCATTTTACAAGGCTCAGATAGAAACCTACTTTATCTGTAAAATTTCAGCTACTAGTTAAAACCTTAGTGGTCTCCTTCCTTTCTGAACACCTGATGGGTCTGTTGATTGTATTTCACAGGCTAGCTTAACACAGAATAGGTACTCAGTTAAAAAAAAAAAAATAGCTTAACAAGTGAATGAATTAAAAATGATTTGGAAGGTAGTCAGAGCTACTACTAGGAAAAAATTTAGAAAACAAACCGTTCAGTGTGACCCTGCCCTAGGCATGTATTTAATCATTCAGCTAATCTTTCATTGAGTGCATGTGGTGCCTGGTCCTGTGCAAAGTTCTGAAGATACAAAACAGACATGGGTCCCTGCTCTCGGGAACTGTAAAGCCAGACAGTAGTCCTGTAATTACAAGTGTGAGGAATGACGCAAAGACCTCAGTAGAGGAAACTATTAGGGGATTATGCTGGGCAAGGAGCTGGCAGATGTCACTTATGCCATTTACAACACTTATGCCAAGATCTGACAGATGATTTTCTGTTGTTGTTGAGACAGAGTCTCAGTCAGTTGCTCTGGGTAGAATGTGGTGGCATCATAGCTCATAGCAACCTCAAACTCGTGGGCTCAAGTGATCCTCTTGCCTCAGCCTCCCAAGTAGCTGGGACTACAGGCGCTTGTCACAACACCTGGCTAATTTATCTATTTGTTAGTAAAGACAGCATATCACTCTTGCTCAGGGTGGTCTCACTCTTGCTTAGAGTTGTGAGGCTGGGCACAGTGGACCATTAACACCCCCAGAGTGTTAATCCTAACACTCTGGGAGGCTAAAGCAGGTGGATTGCTTGAGCTCAGGAGTTCAAGACTAATCTGAGCAAGAGTGATACC